AATGAGTCAAAGGCCACAGTCCCAGTCCAGTCATAATCCCACGAGTCAGTCCTGATTCAGACCAGGAGTCCAAAAGACAGGCCCGATGGCCCAAAGCAGCAGCAGACCATGGGAAAAGATACTGGGACACACACTTCGCAACAATCGGTACTGGGCAGGAGTCCCAGGCACATTTGAGGCTGAATGCAGGCCACGCCAGACCAGTCCAGCACTATAAAGGACTGGCCAGCCTCCCATTCGGACAGATGCTCACTTCCAATGAGAGTGTGGAAGTGCCGTGGCACTTGTGCGCTAGATGTGTGTGAGCTGCGCTAGGCTGAAGAGCAGCGCTATGAGAGGAGGAAAGTGCTGGCTAGAGGGAAGGCAGCCATAGCTGCGCCAGCTCTAGTTAGCATGTTAGTAGGGATAGTCAGTAGGAGATACCAGTGAGTAGTATTCAGAGTAGATCCTCGTGTGATAGGGAGCGTGCACGCATGATGAGTGAGGGTAGACCAGGACTATAGACATAGAGGGAGAGAGAGAAGAAGGCAGACGAGAGAGGGGGAAGCGTGAGCTATGGTGACACTTACCTGTTGAGCGCTGTTGTTGACGTTTGCGCCAGGCTTGGAATTCATGTTGATTGAAGAAGACTTGTAACTCTGTTCAGCGCTATACACTTTGAACTCACGATGTTCTCTCTCTAAATCTGGATCTGATAATTGAGTTGAGCTTCCTGGTTCTCATTCATCTTCTATTGGGCTTTGTGTGAAACTTCACAATCTGTGAAATCAGTGTATATGCATGTTATCCGATTCACTCCAGCAAGGGATGAACAGTCGGGTTCATTGCATATTCTCATAAGGGACGCTGGGCCCGGTTCCCAGCACGTGCTGCTCCCGACAAATAGACTGGAGCATCGTTCCGTTTCGAAAAAAAATCAAAAGAGAGAGAGAGATGTGGGAGCACACTGACAAATAATTCTGAAGGGATAAATGTCTTATCCTGTACACCTGAAGCTATATAGCATATTGTTCTTACTGCGCAGCGGGGACGGGCCTGCAGGGCCCGTCCCGCGGTCTCAGCCTAAAAGCCTAAAAACAAGGGCTTACAGGCCCCGTGTCGTTTCAGCCTGAAAGCCTGAAAACGAGGGCCTGCAGGCCCTATGTCGTTTCAGCCTAAACCAGGGCCTTCCAGGCCCTGAGTCTTTTCAGCCTGAAACGGAGGGCCACTTTCGGGCCCTCATAAGATCGACCTGCCCTAACACTCAGGCACCAAACCAGGGTTTCAGGAACAGGCTATTTTTGGCCTGTTCCCACGACAGGCTCAGCAGGAGCTGCAGCGCCAGACCCTGGCTCGCCCTGGCATTGGCAAGAGCAGCCTCCTGCCTCGCCCTGCAGCTGCAGGCAGTCAGGAGGCAGGCCGAGTAGTACATAGGGAGTTCCTATGCATTTCACGGGTAGGCAGAAGGCAGGAGGCAGTCTTCAGGATTCGGCAGCAGCACTCTGGAGGAGCGCTGCAGGAGTAGCGTTAGCGCTAGCAGTAGTCTTCAGCGCTGGGCGCTAGTAGCTG